AAGTTTTAACCAATTGCTACCACCATTTCTCTATGATATATAATTAATGAAGTATATTTTGCATATGTTTAAAAGGGGCTTCTGAACATTAGTGAAGGTGGGGCTGTGGAGCTATTAACGGATGGTGCAGAGGATCTAAAGTTCAAATTAACAGATGCCGTGGATGTAGCAGAAGATGGCATTATATATTTTACTGATGCTTCTTACAAATATGACGTTCATCATGCTGTGTGGGATTTTTTGGAAGGTAGACCCTATGGTCGATTGTGTAGTTATAACCCTGTTACAAAAGAGACCAAGGTGTTGGTCCGTGATCTCTATTTTGCCAATGGAGTTGCAGTTTCACCAGATCAAAACTATGTCATTTTGTGTGAAACCCCAAGGTACTTCTTCTACTTTTATCTGTCTGCTGAAGTTTGGTTGGCAGTTCCTTGGGAAACTGCTGCCCTAGAAGCTGTTGGCTTCGAAAACCGTCAAACAAACATTTCTATATGTAATTGATGTTGCGAGAAATTTCAGCTTAGTTAATCTCTGTCATTGCAAGGTAGATAGCTTGATTACAATGATACATATTGCAGAAGAAGATGCAGAAAAATTAACATACAGGGAGAGAAGAAGGGAGAAATAGAGACATTTGTAGATGATTTACCTGGCTATCCTGATAATATTCATTATGATGGAGAAGGCCACTATTGGATTGCATTTCCTTGGGTCAGTACCTTTATATTGTGTTGAATAGCTTCCCTCTCGATGGAGAAAGGCAATTAACGTTTAATTTTTTTGGAACAATTATGTATGCCAGGGAATTGTGAAAGGTTGGGAGATGGCATATAGATATCCGTTCATCAGGAAGATTAGAGCACTACTGGTGAAGTACGTCGGAAGACCAAATATGGAGAAAAATGCTGGTGTCTTCGTTGTCGATTTGGAGGGCAAACCAGTTGCTCACTATTATGAACCTGAGTTGTCCATGATTACAAGTGGGATCAAGATTCAAAATTATCTCTACTGTGGATCTATCAAGTACCAGTTCATCATTCGCCTTAATCTGGACCAGTATCCTGCTCGTCATTCCTCTTACAAATGAAAGCAGTCATAAGTAGAACTTATGATTCAATATCGTTCAAATTTAGTTTTTCTTCCATGTCTATCTCTGGATTGTAAATAAATAAATCAACCCAATATACAAGAAATATGCTAAATTTTGGGACACATTTTTAACTTTCTAAAAAAAAAAAGAAGAAAAGAAAACTTCCTCCTTTCATTTCGTATTGAGATTATTTAGACATGATTTCAATTATGATGGTGAGAAAATAAAACAAAAATAGATATAAATGTAATGTAAAATTGGGAGTGTGGGTTGGTAAATCCCACAACGTATTGTCAGTCTCTTTATGTAAGGTAGTGACTACTTTAACTGTCTCTGCATTCAGTCTAATGCAGCTATGACTGCATCAACAACTTCTTGGGTGGTGCTGGAGCCTCCAAGGTCCTTTGTGCGGAACTTACCCTCTGAAATTACGTTTTTGACAGCAGTTTCTAATCGATCAGCAAATGATGGAAACTGGAGATGTCTCAACATCATGGCAGATGAGAGAAGCAGAGCCACAGGATTTGCTTTCCTTTGTTCCACCAATTTCTCATTGCCAACATTTCCTGCAGAAGCACCTTGCTC